AGCGGGGGGGCCAGGCGAGCCGGCGAAGACTGTCGCGCAGGGCGTTGCGGAACTTAGGGTTCAGGCTGTAGTAAAGGAAGAAGTTGGTGTCCGAATTGACCACCAACAGACAGTCGGTGATCTCGCGGATGGCGCGGATCCACGTCTCCGGCGCGTCGTAGTAGCCCCAGCCGAGGAGGCTGAGCAGAGCGTCGGGCGACGCGAGCAACACGAAACCGCTCATCACCGCCACCAACATGATCGTGACCCGATGCCGCACCGGCAGACGCTGCTTCGCGTCACCGACCGCCGTCTCGCGCCGCTCCGGCGCCAGCTCCGCCGAACCGGCCTCCTCGGCCGCCAGGCGGCCGTTGCTCAGCGTCTGACAACCCGATCCGGGTCCGGGTCCGAGTCCCGCATGGCGCGTGAGGACGCGCCAAGCCGACGCAGGCTGCGGCCGCGGACTCGGACGCAGGCCGCTCGAGACGGCGAACACGTCGGCCGAGACGAGCTTCTGCCGCCGGCGCCAGTTGAAACGTCTGCGCAGCGCCACGATGATGGTGATGTTGAGCACGATCATGAGGCAGATGGGCAGAATGGAGCGCAGCACCGTCTGCGGGATGATGTAGGCCTGCTTGAACTGGTCGAGACGCCAGAACCAGCTGGTCTCGAGGCTCTCGATGCTGCCAGAGCGCGTCGAGTTGCCGCCGCCGCGGCCGGTCGTCGGGGCTCGGACGACCGGCCGGTAGCGGAAGATGCCGGGCAGATTGAGCAGGAAGAGACCGACGAAGACGGCGGCGCACTCGATGCGCGCCTTGCGCAGCGTGAGGTAGGCGCGAGAGTCGACGGGTCGGAGCACGAGCAGGAAGCGCTCCATGGCGACGGCGACAGTGAGCCAAGCGGTGACGCTGGCGAGGAACTGGTTGAAGAAGTAGGCGTAGGGGTAGTAGCGCGGAAAGGCGGCGTCCGAGTGCTCGAGCATCTTCACCAGCACGCCGGGCGTGTAGACAAAGTCGTTGGCCAGCTTCATCAGGTCGGCCAGAGCCAGCGCGGCCAGATACGTGTTGGTGCTGAGGCCGCGCATGTCGGGCCGCAAGAAGACGAGCAGACAAAGCGCGTTGGTGACCAACCCGACGAGGCAGGCGATCGGGTAGCAGACGAGGCCGGTGATGAGTTCGGCCGTCGTCAACAGCTCCACGTGCCGGGCCGCCGACTCGTCTGCCTCGGCCATGCTCGGATGGGCCGAGCGTCTGTCTAGACTCGGCCCGGTCGACGCGCCGATCGGCGCGCCTCCGTCTCGGAGACCGGCATCGAGGCGCCGGTGCCGTCCGCTCACCGTCTCAGCAGCCTGGCGCGGCTCGAGCCTGGCTCTCTTGCATCTGCCGGAGACGGGATGACGACGACGACCGACGCTCGCGGCTCACATCGTACCCGGTGTCTCTGTCTCTGGCGCTGTCACTCTCGCTCTCTTAACGCTGGGATGTAGACCGATGAGTCGACGGCTAGCTGTCGGCCGACTGAGCAGACAAGGTATCCGAGACCGGCATGCCTGGCCGAAGAGGTCTGACTATTCCGAGGACCTTCAACACACACGCAGCGAACACTCTGCGAAATCGCGATCCGAACCATCTCTCCTCCAGACCGGGCAGATGAACAATGGGACGAGAGTGAAACGGCGCACGTGATTGGCCAGCCGAACTGACCAATCAGGGCGAAAACGGAAATATCCCCCAAAGGCTGAATAGCCATTTTATTTCGAGGCGAAATTTAGTTGAAAGGACACGGCATAAACATAATAATATGAGGTGTGTTCACCCTGTTTCGTTTAAGATAGTGAAGAACTGGTAGCAGAATTTCGCTACAATGATATGTGTAGAGCTGACGTTTTCAATGAATTCCACACAACCTTGCTTTCCCAAAAGTTGTTCACATTCAGGGTGGACTGCAGATCCTCATATTACTGATTTACTGGCAGTCTCAAAACTCTACTTACACACGAAAAATTAGTAACGTAGTCGATTGGCATAGCAAAAATACTATTGCTTCATCGACAATCGCACCAAAGAATGTGATACCGTGAAAGACCTGGCCTTACTCGAAATTCCCATCTACCCTGTGACTCAAGTGAACTCGTGGCAATGTGGTTGAGTGGTTAACGTGTCGAGCTCACTTTCTGCACTATCATGGTAAGACCCATGCGAGGATGAAACTGCAGTCCACTTCTGTCTGGATGTGAAATTCAATGGAAACGCCAGCTCTACTCATATCATTGTGGGAAAATTCTTCTATCAGTCCTTCATCACCCTCAACGAAATTGGGTGAATACATTTCATATTTCTGATTTACTGGTAGTCTAGAAACTCTACTTACATACGAAAAATAGTTATAATACGCGACACGGCGAATATTTCATTTAAGCTGCAAACTCATGCCATTAGGAATAGTTGTGATTTGCGCAAAAGATAGGTAAGATAGGTATGAAGAAGAACTGGGTCTCGAAGAATGTATTGCTAACTTGTGACAAAACTTTCCATTTCTAAGAAACAATTTGATGGAAGGTATTCATGAAACGATCTCACTGGAAACAGAAGGAGTCTTGCTCGTCGCTACCTCGCCTCACCGATGAACCTGTCCTAAACTTTCGTCTGTTCTGCCATCGTGAACCGCAGCAGAACAAGAATACATACGAAATGGCTTAAAATACTTTTATTTCGTATGCATGAAGAAGAGTTTTGAAGGTTGATCTCACCAGAAAAGGAGGGCTGATTCCCGTTGTATTGCAGCTTCGTGGCTTGAATACAGCTTTCAGTTCGATGCAGTCCATGCGACATCCTCCCTCGTTTCGGGTGTAAGCGGTCTGAGCTTTCGTCCATCATGCGATGGACATCCTCAGAGCTAGAACTCATTTTTGTACATGTCTAACGTTAACACTAGACTAAGAATGAGTTTCACATCTGACGAGGTTCATTATATGATGAACGAAAGCTCAGCCCGTTTTCACCAGAAACGAAGGAGGTCTCGTGGATTGCGTCAACCCGAATTTTATATTTAAGTTACGCACCTGCAACACAACGGGAATCAGCTGCCCTCTCCTGGTGAGATCGACCTTTGAATCTCTTCTTCATGCATACGAAATGAAAGTCTCTCCAACTATTTCATAAAATATGGATTCCCGTGTTTCTCTGCCACAATGTGTCTAACTACCCCTGTTGTTTGATATAGCATTTCGCCTAGTCATCACACTGTCGGAAACTGTCTTTCCCATAGGTTTTCACCTCATATCCCGAAGAATGTGCAACCTTCCCACCGACCGTTTCATAAGCTAGACTAAGAAGTAAAAATTATCATTGCTTTGAGGTTGACACTTATGAGAATAGAGTCGACTAAATTTCTACCTCACATGCCCAAGATAAAAAACTTTTCGAGTTTATAGTTTATTCTTGCATAAGAAGTTGATAATCCTATGTCGCTTAAACTCAATTAAAGATTTAAGTTTTAAGTTTTCCACAATTGTATGGTAGACATGAGAAAGTCATTTAAGTATACTTAGCATCGCTTTCACAAGTTTCTCTCATCTAAGCATCATTGCAGTTTCGACCTCAACTGGGCCTTAGTAGAACCCAAAACGAGATTTAATATCGGAGCATATGCAGCATGGCGTGCACCTCTTCGCAACATAGCCATAGATGCCATTTAAAGCAAATATGATCTCTGCTTATTGACTTTATTGCAAGATTGTTTACGACATGTGTTTGCCATTGCATTCAATAATAATACTTATTCATGACATGAGTTGGTTGCGAGACTATCATAATTTCTCAATAAGAAATTAGCCTATGTCGTCTAAAGTGATTTATGTATTTTTGTTAAGGGGAACTTCATTTCGAATGAAAGTACATGAAGTAGAGATTCGTTTGTCAATCTCACCAGATGAGGACGGATGAAAATCGTTGTACGGCAGCCGTTTAGCTTTTATATTATATTCATGTT